ATAAAATAAAATTACAAAATACCAAATAAAACAATACAAAAAATAAACTGACCTAGAAAAGTTTTCATTGGAGGCTTACATTATGAAAAGAGAGAACAGAAAACAAAATTAATATAAAGGGTAAGGGAAGGTAAAGAGATAGGAAAGTTATATTTAAAACCGTCCTACAACAATATGTCAAATCAAGTTCACAAAGAAAGGGCTTAAAATGTTGTTTATTTAAACAGCATCATCATCATATAATCATTGACATCATAATGCTGATGATAATAATAAAAATATAATATACTTATTCATACTATAAATTTTACACATACACACATATATATAACAAAACATAAATATATATATACACATATATAACTATATATCTGACAAAAATAAAATAACTATTAATAATAAAAATGTTAATGATAATAATAATGAAAATAATAAAAGCAAAAAAAAAAAAAATAAATAAATGAAGCATAAAAATATATAAAAAATACGTATAAAAATATAATATTAATAATAAATAATGATAAAAAGTAACAATAATAATAATAAAAATATTGGGAAAGATAATAAACGATATATATGATGAAGACATCTGCATGATAATCACATAAATAATCAAATTCATCTACAGACCCATATATACATGTGCGACAAGTACATGCATACATCTATACGAACACATGCAGACTTATATGCCTGTACACATATACAATTAAAAACCCAATTCACAAGTGCATTACCCGCAAAGTAAATGTTTTTAATCTATGCCAACATTTGAAAATAATTTCATTTCTTTGGATCAAGTGTTGACCTTCATTTTGCATTTAATTATTAGGATTATTTCCTGTAGGCATAGGTTGCATCTATTCTGGGAGTTGTTGGGAGTTTGTGATTGCCAATTATTGTAGGCTGAAGCCTCTATCTTTAAGTCTCCAAAAATGTCTAGATTTTGGTGTATTAAAGAAGCACCAGAGAAGGAATGCCTGTGATTGTAGAACCTCTGTTTCTAACGTCCAGCAGAGATACCGATGTATACTTTTTTTATCATTAATATTTTGGGGGAAAAGATAGTAGCTTGGTATACAACATTTTCTAAACTGAGCAGTTTGCTTTGGTTTCACAATTGCAAGAGGGCTTGTTATCTGGTATGTTGCTGTCATAAAATGATTTTAATATTTTATTGTTATGTGAGTCAATATATATATAAGTGCGATGGATAAATTGTCGTCTAAATTACGCCCCCAAAAAATGAAAAACACTAACATTTCATTTTAACAGAGATATTTACCAAAATTACACAAAAATATCTTGAAAATACTAAAAAATAAATTTATTCAATAAAATCAATATTGCCTTCAACCACGGCCTCCGGGTGACTTTGGAATCTCCGCCAACACTTTTGGACGGTCTTCTTGGTGAATGCTGCCATAATCCTTGCTTTTAGTTCATCTTTGGTGTTACAAGGAGTTTTTTTGGTCTCTCGTTCAACTGCGTCCCACACATATAATCAAAGGGGTTGCAGTCTGGGGAGTTAGATGGCCAGATGTAAGCGGTGATGTGGTCGCAGAAATTGTCTGACAGCCATGATTGGATTCTCCTACTTGTGTGGCATGGTGAAGAGTCCTGTTGCCAGAAATAGGGTCTTCCAGCAGCCACCCTTTTGAACCAGGGCAGCACTACCTTCTCAAGGCACTCAGTCCTTTCCAACGCGTTTCGTTATCCGACTCAAGCAAGTGTTGATAAAGAAAATCGAAATGTTGTGTAGTTACACGAAATGAAATTTTTTTAAAAGACGCCCCTGATATTTTGTTTTTTGTTTATCATCACTTGTCGTGATAAAGTCGGATGACGAAACGCGTCAGCAAGGACTAAGTACTCTTTTCCGATTGTCTATTTTATTCAATTTGTCTTCTCTACAGATTTATTCTGAGAACTTTCACACGTTGCCGACATGAAAACAAAAACATGCAATTAGTCAAAAAACAAAAAAGAAAAAATTACTAATATCTAAAAAGAGGCTTTCGCAGGAGCGTCTTTTAAAAATTTTGAAATGTTCTGTAGTTACACGAAGTAACTACAGAACATTTCGCTTTTGTTTATCATCATTTGCATTGATAAAATTGGATGACGAAACGCGTCAGCAAGGACTAAGTACTATTTTCCGATTGTATATTTTATTCATATATATATATATATATATATATATATATATATATATATATATGAGTCAAAGAGAAAATATGGATCGGAATTCGACAGGGTGATAAGATAAAGAACAAATAGGAAATGTTTATCAATCTAACATGTTTCATTTTTATTAAAGTTCCGTCAGAGACTGAAAAACGGAAAAATATATAGATACAAACATATGAGGAAGATGTGGTATTATGCTGGAATAGGCTTGGCCTCAACAAGGAAGTTGAGGGTACCAGAGAATTTCACAGGTTTCACAAATTCATGACTTCAAATGTGTATCCGGTATTGAAATTGTGATGAATATATAAACAAAAACCCTAGTCAGTATCCGGACAGCCTGCCATACACTGTAGACGGAAAATGTTGAAACTACGTACTGGACAAGGGGCGTCCTGGGTCACTTGCATACTACAGGTTAACTGAGAGCAACTAAAGAAATATTGGAATGAATTAAATGTTAAGTAATGAAGATTCACATTTCGTTTTATCGTTTTATTATAGATAGATAGATAGATAGATAGAAATCGAGTTTATCTCCTCTATTTCCTCATTGAAGTCGATACATAGATAGAAAACGAACTAGTATCCACTTTTTCACCAGGAAAGCTGTTTCTTTAGCCTAGAAGTGGCCGAATTGGTAGAAGCACGTTTCGGATAGATAGATAGATAGATAGATAGATAGATAGATAGATAGATAGATAGGAATCAAGCTTATATCCCATTTATCATCAGGGAAGCCGTTTCTCTAACCGAAAAGTGGCCGAATGTGTAAAAAGATATTTCAGATAGATAGATATGAATCCAACTAGTATCCCCATTTTCATCAGGGAAACCATTTCTCTGGCAGAAAAGTGGCCAAATTCGTAAAGCACGTTCGTCTAGATAGATAGATAGATAGATAGATAGATAGATAGATAGATAGATAGATATCGAGTTTATACCACCTTTTTCATCAGGGAAGGCGTCTCTCTAGCCAAAAAGTGTCCGAAATGGTCAAAGCACGTTTCAGATAGATAGATAGATAGATAGATAGATAGATAGATAGATATCGAGTTTATGCCACCTTTTTCATCAGGGAAGGCGTCTCTCTAGCCAAAAAGTGTCCGAAATGGTCAAAGCACGTTTCAGATAGATAGATAGATAGATAGATAGATAGATAGATAGATAGATATCGAGCTTATACCACCTTTTTCATTAGGGAAGGCGTCTCTCTAGCCGAAAAGTGTCCGAAATGCTCAAAGCCCGTTTCAGATAGATAGATAGATAGATAGATAGATATCGAGCTTATACCACCTTTTTCATCAGGGAAGGCGTCTCTCTAGCCAAAAAGTGTCCGAAATGGTCAAAGCACGTTTCAGATAGATAGATAGATAGATAGATAGATAGATAGATAGATAGATAGATAGATAGATAACGAGTTTATACCACCTTTTTCATCAGGGAAGGCGTCTCTCTAGCCGAAAAGTGTCCGAAATGCTCAAAGCACGTTTCAGATAGATAGATAGATAGATAGATAGATAGATAGATAGACATGAATCGAAATATTATCCTATTTTTCATCAGGTACTACCGTTTTTGTAGCACTCCACGGTGACTATCAGTTTATCGCTTTACTGCCATCTTTATACTTGCCTGGGGGTGTCGTCGAAGGGCGAAACTATCAGACACCATTCACTGTTTTCCTATGTCCATATCTATATAATAGAGTACAATAAATATAGCAAAATTTAAAATATATATATATATATATATATATATATATATATATATATATATATATATGCGTGTGTCTCTTTTTGTCTCTGTGTGTGTGTGTCTATGCAAGTGTGTGTGTGTTATAAATTATAATCGCTAGAAAATGAAAATGACTATGAACATGTTCGCTGTGTGGATCTAAATGTTTTGATAATACAAATCTTTCAGACAGAAAAATGGGTTATATTTTCTTGGAAATCTATAGATTAAATTATGAGGCCATGAAGTTGTCGTCTTTGTCCTCGCGAAAAAGATTAAGTACGTAATTAACCTTTGTTCATCGTATTCTTTACTGCTGCGTGCAGAAAGTTACTGATTTTCTAAAACAATGTCGCGAAAAAGACAGGTAATAAAAGCTAAGAGAAGAAAATCAAAATTATTTGATAAAATGAAAATATAGTTTGTTTTGTCTATTTGCTTTTGGGTTTTTTTTACTTTCATTTTCATGAAAAGATTTTCAATGAGCTGTCAGAAAAGCGTACAGAGTTAGCATTAATAATTTCCAATATTTTGTTACTTACTGATCTTAACAAAATTATCGCCCTAATTTGCATAAATCAATTATTTAAAATATCAGGAATTTATTTATTCAGCTGATTTGTTTCTTAAATTAATGTTCTTGTTGTTTAAGGTTTTTCTTTCACTTATATTCTTTCACACTCACTAGCCGCCTGCGTCTTAGTGGCTTTATTGCCTTGCTTGGGTGAAATGAATAAAAATAAATAAATAAATCCTTAAAATATAGAAAGAATTTTCTCTCTCACATACACAGAGAAAGAGAGAGAGTCCCTGTGCAGGCAGAATCATTCATCTATCTGATTGCGCGGACTTCTTTTATTTATTTTTTATTTAGCACACTGGAGGGGGTTACTGAATTCAAGTGTGTCTGTCGTATCCTGTCGGCACTCTAACATTTAAAAAAAAAAAACAACCGGAAGAAAAAGCTTAACCAGCGATTGTTGTAAAACTGATTCAAGATATAAAAAGGCCTCAAAACTCGCAAAGTATTCGTCCCGCGGCCCAAATTACTAGAATCAGAGTGTAATATTTGTTCCAGCAGCCAACAGTCGGCCCACGGCTCTAGCTATCAGCAGCAGCAGATGCTCCAGCTACCTCCAGCAGGCCGCCAGTTCTAACCAGCCAACTATATCCAACATGCATCCAGTTCCAGCCAGCCATACTTGCCAGCAGCAACGATAAGCGATAAACTGTCCTTTTCATGACAACAATTCTCACCGGCTACAAAACTGTCCTTTTCAGGACAACACTCTTCACCGATTATAAAATTGTCCTTTTCAGGACAACGCTCCAGCGACTACAAAACTGTCTTTTTCATGACAACACTTTTCAACGACTACAAAACTGTCTTTCCCAGGACAATACTTTTCTACACTCTTCTCGTCCTCTACATGAACATGCAGAGATATTTTTGCTTAGTGCACTGTAATCCTATTTTTGTCGATGTATTTTCTTTAACGAAAATGAACTTGGCAATATATTTTTTACTCAAGTCAAAAATTCAGTAGTCTCATTTTTTTTAATTTAAAATTCTGTTGTCTCATTTTTAAGTTCTAAAAACCGAACTGTACAGTACTTTCCATCCGAATAAAAAAAAAATGAAATCGAGGCAAAAATACGCAGGGAAAGAGAAATTAGTAAGCAAAGAAATTATTTTCTTTGTCTTTGTTGGCGTCATGAGTTTTTGGCAATGAATTAAACCTGTCAAAAGTATGCTTCTGTACCAGCATATTAATGGTACGTGATCTTTTTGGCAACTGTCCAATACAGTGTTTTGTATTGGCAGTTAAGAAAAATCAATCTAAAACAGCAATAACCACCACACAAACCTACCCATCAACCGATTCATGCATCTCCAGGAATAGCTAAGTATGTTTCTTAAGCACTGATTCAATGGTATATGATTGGGATACAGCAGCAGCAACTTCTTTCCGTGTCACTTCATGACGTAGACGATCATAGCCTTCCACATCTTCTCGTCTTTGTATCTCTTAATAAGTTTTGTCTTTTTATTATTTCTCCTAAACCCTTTTAAGCCATCTATTTGCTCAAGCCCATCAAGTATATTACGCACTGATTTCCTGTCCCTCCTTCCCTCAATCTGTCCCGTGAGTACTAGATTTTCCAAGCCCTCCTTCTTCATTACTTGCCCCAGAAATTTCAACTCTTCGTGATATTAAATATAAGTTTCTTTTTTGTTTCCATTCTCTATAAAACCTCGTTGTTGTTCACGTATTCGGTCCATGGTATCCTCAGCATTTTTCTGTAGAACCACATTTCTGTTGCTTCAGGTCTCTTCTTCAGTAAATTGAATTCAATGAATGAATGAATGATGACAAAAATATTAATAATGTTGATGGTGAAAATACACCTAACTGAAAAGCAAATATAATTCCTTATAAAAATTTTTTTAAAAACTGCGGCAGAAATAAAGTCCCTATATAAGTAAAATTAATGAGAAACGATAAGAAAATTTATAGCGATAATAATAATGTCACCCGTATCATTAGCGCTTGTGAAATTCTTACGCAGAAAGAGTGCAAGTGATGCCATGATAAAATGGCCTCTCAGTTGCATTGATGCCTATATAGTAAATATGGACATAAAGTCGAACCGAAATGATACTTCTACAATTCAGAAAAGGCGATTGAAAATGAGCAAGTCAAAATCTTATGGGAATCCAAGCAAATAGTATCCTTGAGGCAACCAAACCAGACACCACTGTTGCTGAAAAAAGAAAAAAAATACAAGAATACATTACTTAAAATATCTGGGTAGTAAAAACAAAATTCCCTGCTGCGTACATCTATTTTTTATTATAATTAACTACGTTGAATTAAGGTGATCCCATTCACCTGTGATATCTATTCTACCGCAGCTGTAAAATCCGATTTGAACATCGTTCATTATGTTCAAAAATAAAATATCCTTTAAACGTGAGAAACAGATAACAGGTGTACCTGCTGATCATGACAACAGAAAAAAATCAGCCATCTTTTTACTACACACTTAACCCCAAGCTATAGGTTAAATAGTAGGTTAATATGACCTCTCTAACTTTGGGTAACAGCCAGAGGAAGAGAAATTTTACCACTCTACTATCTTTTCAAAGACGCCATGGAAATTCACAAATAATAGAAAGGGATTATGTAGAGAGCCATCATCGCCTACATCTTGAAGGTACATAGCATTAAAAAAAAAAACTCTCTAAGGAGCTTATAGGAGAGTGCATGTTTTAATGCAACTTGTGACGAGAAAAACAAGTAAAACGGAGATAGCAACAAGCTGAGTACCACATTTCTTTTTCAAAGGGAATACAGGAAAAGGACGTCATGGATCTGAGACTGGGAGGTGAGGTTTTCTGCAATAAACTAGAAATTTTCTAGCTAAACAAAAATGATTTTCAAGAACTTCTAAGCAAAGAAGCCGGCAGGAATTAAATCCACAATACGAAAAATGACAACATTCAATAGAAAATACAACGTTTAAAATCTGATTTGCAGTTACATAAAAATAGCAGAATAAAGTCTACACCGAAAAAAAAAATACCCTGTCCGGTGTCAAAAGCTGCTGGTGGCGCTAGGGGTGACAGTACCGCCTTAGAAACCAAAACTGTGTTACCTCCCCTGCTGATGAGGACTGGGTATCGCACATGCTTTCACAGGTTGTATGTGTATAAAATAATTAATTAAATAAACACAAATAAGATCACCAAACAAAACCACTGTGGGTTAGCCCACTTGGTTTCGCCAAACGCTAATTAGGTGGCGCTGTTTAAATCTATAAAAAGACAAACATTTTCTTCCTCTTCCTCTGTCTTCCTGAAGATACATCAGTTTGTAGTTGAGAACGTCCCCGTTTGGGACGCCTTTGTTTCCCCTATCGACTGACGTTTGAATTCTCACATCCACGCACATAGACACAGGTGTGTATCATACACACTTGTATCACATACACAAACAAGCACATTCTAAATAGCTAAGTTTTAATGTCTTTTCTTTTCCTTTCAACTTAGTACACCTTAATATCATTTCTTTTTGTTAATACACGCATCAACTGCTTGTTTAAAATCCTTGTTTTTTGTCTTATTTTTTTACATGGATTCACATGAGTCCGCTAAATATTTTTTTCGGCGAAGATATGTAAAGAAATACATACAGAAAAGAAATTATTAGTAATAATGACGAACTGGGTAAATCCAACCACACAATAAATCGACAAAACTACAAAAGACAAACAGCTTTAATAAAAGTAAATATCTTAATTGTAAGGGGGGAAAAGGCAGACGCAGTTTTTAGCAGCATAGATAAAATAGGATGTTACAGATAAACAAATGCAACTTTTATAGGCAGGTGGATTGGAAAACAGAACAACCAGATGCCATTGAATCAAAACTCTTCGGGGTCAGATTTGGGGTCTGTGAGAAAGAAATAAGTGTGTTTGACGAACCTTAAGATATGAATGAAAAAAACATATATACAAGACGAAAAGGTGTAACGTGGAAGGTCACAGACTACCTTAAAAATGGCGAATTCTAATTGAAAATATTCAGCCATACACGCAAGACTAGACACAAAATTGCACAAATACCTCATAGAAGCAATAAAATCGTCGAATGGATGATGAACAAAGAGAAGTAAAATTACAAGTCATTACTGGTGCATAACATGCCTGCATATGAAAAGTCGGGACACTTTATGAAAGAAATATATTACTCGTTAAAATGTCTATTTCTATGTGAAGCAGTGACGTGTAGAGGT